TTCAGCAATTCTTCACGTTTTTGCCGATCGCCAAGGGTCTGAAATTTGTACACTAGCATTTGAAATTTATTCATAATCGAGTTCATAATTCATAATGAAAATAAGATATTCCGTTACAACGTGAAATGTTTATTTATATGTTGAAGTTTCATCAGTAGGTACTATGTGTTTAAAAAAAGCTTGAATTTAAACTATTCTTATAAGGTCAATTGAGAAATTGTCATTCCTTTTAAAAATACTGTATGAACACTTCCAACGAAAATGTGAGATTTCCATTTACCCACAATTTACGGTTTATACATAACTGGTAGCGGGTGATTAACTGGTAGCGGGTGATTTTAACCTGGATACTTTAATTAACACGAGTTCTCACAAGGATAGATACGTAAATACATTAAGTGAACATGGGTTTATTAACTGCATTACAAAACCCACAAGAGTGTCAAAGTTTAGTGAAACATGTATTGACCATTTTAACTTAAAATTTGATTTTAATCGTATCAAGATCTTGCCTATTACTACCACTTTTAAAATTTCAGATCATTTTTGTTTATCGCTGTACTTAAAATTTACTGCAACTTCTACAAAAACTAGTCAAACAGAACATGTCACACTTCACAAAATTATAGATCACAACAAAGTTAAGGCGTCTTTAGTAACTCATGATTGGGATTGTATATAAACCATTTAAATTTAGACGATAGTTTTAAATATTTCTTGGATACCTTAAATAATTACATTAAGAATTTCACATATATTAAGCGCAAAAAACAACTTAAAAAGAAAAAGGAGTGGGTGACTAATGAAATTATTAGTTTGATGATAGACAGAGATCGTGCCTTTAAAAGCTATCTAAAAGATAAAAGCAATACCAATCGTCATGATGTATATAAAACATTACGGAACAATGTAAACAATCTAATTAAAAAAGCTAAAGAATCTTATTATACGAAGAAATTTTCAAAAAGTAGTTCTGCGAAGTCCTTATGGGAAATTACAAAGGAAGCTATAAATCTAGATAAAAGTAAAACCAATTATCACATGATAAAGGACGAAAATGGGAAAACGGTAACCGACGAAATAGTTATGGCTGAAATGTTTAATGACTACTTCATTAAGGTCCCGAAATTGTTAGCTGACAAGTTACAAAAATATGACTATCATAATCATAACATCACTCCAAATAAAAGTTCTATGTTTTTCCTACCAATTACTGCAAATGATGTTATGTCTTCAATCAATAAACTCAAAAAAAGTACTTCTTCCGGCATAGATAACATAACATCACTGATGTTAAAAAATGTAATAACAGAAATAGCTCAACCTCTAACTGTACTGTTTAACCGTTGCATTCTTGATGGTTACTTCCCTACAATTCTAAAAACCGCAATAGTTAAACCTCTATTTAAAGGTGGTGATCCTTGTAATATTAGTAATTTTCGTCCGATTTCTTTAACGTCCTGTATATCGAAGGTATTTGAAAATATATTAAAACTTCAACTTGAATCATTCCTTCATCGTCACGAGGTATATTCTGACAATCAATATGGTTTTAGGACGGGAAGAGGAGTGGATGACGCACTTGCAAAGTTACTCTCTAATATTTATACGGCTGTGGACTCTTCACAACCCTCAATAGCTGTTTTTTTGGATCTTGCAAAGGCGTTCGACACGGTTTCACACTCCATCCTATTTGAAAAGTTGGAATTATACGGGATTCGTGGAGTGTGTTTGTCGTTACTGAAATGTTTTGTTGCGGATAGAGAGCAAGTGGTTGTAATCAATGGTACCCTAAGTAGTCCCAAACAAGTGGTAAGTGGAGTTCCCCAAGGTTCCATCCTAGGTCCCGTTCTGTTCTTATTATACATAAACGACATAATTAATTTACGTTTTGAACGAGCTACTATAGTCTCTTATGCGGACGACACTGTACTGTACGTGGTGGGAGATACTTGGGAACAAGTCAAACAATCCACATCGTGTTACTTGTCTGTACTCGTACGTTGTCTAAACCAAAACTTGCTGTCTCTCAACTACACCAAAACTCTGTATATTCCCTTTCACTCTTACAAATTTCAAACAATAGATGATGACATAAAAATCCATGAATCAGATTGCTCTCAGATTAATTGTAGTTGTGCTCTAAGTATATCTCAAAGGGACCACATCAAATATCTTGGTGTTACCATTGACAAACACCTAAGATGGGACCATCATATTACACAACTTGTGATTAAACTAAGGAGATATGTCTATCTGTTTAGAAAGTTAAAACGGTTCTGCAATGAAAATTCATTAAAAATTGTTTATTACGGCTTTGTGCAATCTGTGCTGGGATATGGTTTGTTAGCGTGGGGTGGGGCAGCTCACAAATACTTAAATAAGTTAGAGGTGGCACAGAAGCTAATAATCAAAATTATGGCTAAAAAGCATGCACGTTACCCTTCTCAATTGTTATTCAAGGACACCAACCTTTTTACAATAAATCATCATATCTTCTCTCGGTATCTCGATTTATATATAAAAATATTAATAGGCTTAAGTTAAATTTTCCCCAACACAATTACGATACAAGGACAAAAATAAAGAATTTGGCGTATAATTTAAAAATACGGAAAAAAGTTGGTCAATCTTACTTCTTGTATTATACACAAAAGCTATATAATTACCTATTAATCTACACAAATTTGTCTTTCCCTTTAACAATTTCATATCATGCGTTTATCAAATTTATTAAAGAACTTCTCCACAATAATTTCTCCCATCTTGAATCACAGATTTATTTATTATAACGGATACTCTACCCTAACTCTTTGTTTTTTATCACTCTCAACTTGTGATCGGTTCAAAAAGCGTTATTATCTACGTACACCTTGGGGTGTAGTGACAACAAGTTTTTAACTTAGTCGTTACACCTAAGGACGCTAAAAATGATATTTTAGTTATTTTCATTTTGGACATTTTTTTTTACATTTACATTATTATACATAGGTTATAGGTTTCTGTTACAACAAGAATGTAAATAAATGGTTATTATTATTATTATTATTATTATATACAATCATTCAATCAGATCGGATATTGCAGCCATCATATCATCATCAACGGCTTTTGAGGTCGTTTTAGTTCATACCGATCTCTTCTTTTATAGCACCATCATAAAGCGCACATACACTATCATCTGGCAACACTGTGCAACTTCGGTGCTTTATAACGGTTGGGTTTGAGAAGAATCATGTAGAATAGGTTGCATATACACTTAGGAGTTTAGAAATCAAAATGTTGGAGAATAATTGATAACATAAAATTTCGTATTTGGCGTAAACTGATATCTCGTTCATTTTACACCTGTACTTTCCGAGAGCAACGTGATTTGCGGTACCTGTAATTAAAAGGCAACTATTAGGCCAGATTTTCCGCATTTCATTAGTACAGCTAATTAATTTAGAAACAATTAGTTAGATAATTAGTACTCATAATTAGCAACCACAGTAGTGGGATTTAAGGCTCAGAGGGAAAAGAGGTCGACTATCAGGGTAAGAACTAATCAGATTTCTTAATTATCGTAATTCTAAAATTTTAGCCTATTTATTTAAAGTCATAATCTTGAAGAAAATTGAAACGTCAAATTAAATACCTAAGGAAGTCACTAATCAAGTTATTGTTCAACTCCTTATCACCACACTGGATAGCAGCGTCGCGTAAATCAGCCCTTGTGGTTGTTGTTGTTGCTGACCCTGGGCTCATATCTGCATACCAATACCTGTTGATATCAAACTACATACAAAAGAAGCAAGAGATTATCTATACTCACCTGTGATCCATCCAATCCGTTAATTATTCGTCCATCGGTCATTATAACCATCTTAATTTTAGCAATTAGGTCGTTTCTATAGTTAGGTAGCTTCATATTATCCATTTTACTTACCGTAATTTTTGGGCGGTAAGACTAAACGCTACTTACCAGTTGACAGTACGGAGGGCTGCTGTATTCATCGAATAAACACATACGGCGGTAGCAAACAAAGCGCTTTGGTTGTACAACCCCTAATATTTCATTCACCACTAGCTATCTTCTAGCTATCGTCCGGCCAACAGGGTAAGTTGTCAATATTTATGTATATTATTTCTTGCTGATTTTATTGCAACTGTAGAAGGCCTTGCATTATTTACAAATTACATCCTCCGTTTCTACCTTATTACCTCCGTCCATCTTAAAACCAATATTCAGTTTATTTAACAATAATCCATCTTACATAGAGTTTGTTTTATTTTGTTGTTACAATAAATATAATTTTCGTTTACTTAACATTGAACTTGGGTACTTCATTATTACTGTTGAGTATTAGTACAGGTAATTCGTGGCTATATCACCTCTATTGGTCCGCTGGAGGCATATACCATTGGGGATAGGACCTGGCGCCCGGTTATCAACTCTAATTGAACCCATTGAGCTGAGTTAGTAGGCATTGGCTTTATTACCGAACCACAATTACCTTGGTTGTCTTTTGTTTAGCTTAGAAGGTAATAAAATTGGCGCCCAACGTAAAAAGAATTTTGTTTTTGTATTAAAATTATTTAGATTAGTTAGCTTGGTAATTATAATTGCTTTTCAGTACCCCGACGTAATTTTAGGAAGTAAGATGGATTTTAATTTGGATGTCGATAGGTTAGTAAAAGAGGAGTTAGAATATGAATTACAATATAGAGGATTAGGTTACACAGGGAATGTAGATATGTTACGAAAATCATTAAGGAGTGCGTTAGCTTTAGAAAAATCAGGTAAAACATTCTTGGAAGGTCCAAAATTTGATGAACAACTACAAATTAAAACTTGTGACTTAAAACTAACAGAAGTATCGGAATTAGTAAAAGCATTAGAAACCCAATCTCCACCAGTTAAAAAAATTGAAACAAAATTTGCACACATATTTGGTCGAATTAATCATATTACATCGGTTGATAAGCTGATTGTAGCAAAACGATCGGAACTTTTAGATAAATTAATGGAAATAATCTCTGATTATTCTACTAAATGTAAACAAATTCATGGTAGTACACCACCACTTGCTCCAGATTTTTATAATGCACCAAACACATCTCAAGTAACCGATAATGTCACTAGTGAAGGATCAGGTTCCTCTACAAATCTTTCAAAATCAATACCAGTATATAAATGGAACTTGAAATTCGCAGGAAATATAAAAGACAGCATCAGTTTTAATTCATTTTTAGAAAAGGTAGAAGATCTTTGCACCTCTCGTAACGTAAATAAAAAACAATTATTTGATTCTGCAATTGATCTATTTGAGGGTGAAGCTTTAGTATGGTTTCGTATGGTTCGCAGTCAAGTATCTAATTGGGAATCTTTAATTACATTAATGAAACAGGAATTTCGACCTTCTCACACCTCAGATGCATTATGGAAACAAATACTTCAAAGAACTCAGGGTGCAAATGAATCCATAGGAATTTATGTTGCAATTATGACTAATCTTTTCGATCGAATGCCAGTTTCAGTACCAAATGAACTAAGGCTAAAGGTTTTGCGTTGTAATATATTACCATTTTATCAGGAACGTTTAGTATTGCTGGATATACACTCTCCCTTAGAACTTATAGAATATTGTCGTAAGTTAGAAGAAACTAAAATTAAAATAAGTGAGTTTAAACCTCCACAATTAGGTGAATTATCACTAGAACCTGATTTAGAGTATCACAACTCCTCTGCATCTAAAACGAAGTCAAAATCGGAAGCTGTAATTAGGGAAATCCAAACAACTTTACCTAACAGAGGGTTATGTTTTCGTTGCAATAAACCAGGTCATTTCGCAAGATCCTGCAAAGTAAAAACTAAATTGTATTGCTTTACATGTGGAAAACTGAATTTTACCAAATACACGTGCCCTTCTTGCAATCCGAATTTGGGAAACGGCTCACGAAGGCAGGATTAGGTCGCACCATGTCTTCTTTTAAATCGACGACCCCTACACAAAAATCAAATACATTAGATAATAAACAAAAATTAATTTTAGATTACATTTTGGCTCAAGTGGAAGATGGCGAATGTCCTTACATAGTAGTGAATATTTTAGGAATCGCATTTTATGGATTATTAGATTCAGGTGCTAATAAAACCTTTATTAACCAAAGTACTTGGGATATTTTAAGGAAGTTAGGGTTAAAGTTAAATACAACAAATACACCAGTGTGTAGAATTGCTGATAGTAGTAACTGTGAATGTTTAGGAATAGTCACTGTGCCTATTAAACTTAAACAATCGGTCAAATTGATAGATTTGTACTATTTACCCAGTTTAAAACAAAATTTAATTTTAGGGATAGATTTTTGGAAGCAAATGAACATTATCCCAGATATTAGGAAGGGAGAATGGTACTTTTCGTCAGAAACCTTAGTTAAGCCAATAATAAACCATATTGAATCCATATCGACATTAACCAGTGATCAAAAATTACGTTTGGACACAATTGTCAGTAATTACTTTAACTATTTTAAGGATAAAGAGATAGGTTGCACAAATTTAGTTACACATGCTATTAAAGTTAACAGTTCACCAATTAAACAGCGTTACTATCCAGTATCGCCCTATAAACAAAAATTAATCGATGACGAATTAGACAAGATGATTAAGGAAGGTATAGTCGAAAAATCTTGCAGCGCATGGTCATCGCCTGTATTATTAGTGCCGAAAAAAGATGGTTCCCAAAGATTTTGTGTTGACTTCAGGAAACTCAATAAAATCACCGAAAAAGATGCATACCCGTTACCATATTTAAATACAATTTTAACAAAATTAGGAAATACTCGTTACATCAGTAGTTTAGATATAAAGAGTGCATATTGGCAGGTAGCTATGGACGAGGACAGTAAACAATGCACAGCATTTACAGTACCTGGAAGAGGTCTTTTTCAATTCACTAGGTTACCGTATGGTTTAACGAACGCTCCGGCGACGTTTCAAAGATTAGTTGATGTCATTTTAGGCCCGGAACTAGAGCCTTTTGTTTTTTGTTATCTAGATGATATAATAGTTACTGCTCCAGATTTTGAAAAACATTTAGAGATCTTAACGGAAGTATTAAATCGTTTGCAAAATGCTAATTTAATACTCAATAAAGAAAAAAGTCAATTTTGTAGATCGCAGCTCAAATACTTGGGATATGTAATTAATTCTAATGGATTACAGGTAGATCCAGAAAAGGTTGAATGTATCTTAACTATGCCTCAACCAATTAATATTACTGAAGTGAGACGATTATTAGGAATGATATCTTGGTATAGACGTTTTATATCGTCATATTCAGACTTAATTTCACCATTGACAAATCTGTTAAGAAAGGACACTAAATTTTGTTGGAATTCTGACTGTGAAAATGCATTTAGGGAAATCAAAGATATTTTAATTTCATCGCCTATATTAGCTACACCAAATTTTGATAAGGAATTTGTCTTACAAACAGACGCATCTTCTGTAGGTATAGGAGCAGTTTTGACTCAATTCTATGATAACAGAGAACATGTTATATGTTATATTTCCAGATCCTTGTCTAGTACCGAACAAAAGTATTCAGTTACGGAACGAGAATGTCTAGCAGTTTTATGGAGCATAGAAAAACTTAGGTGTTATTTGGAAAATACAAAATTTACAGTAATAACTGATCACCATAGCTTAGTATGGCTGGATAATTTAAAGGATCCGCAAGGTAGATTAGGTAGGTGGGTGTTACGTCTGCAACAATATAATTATAAGGTAATACATCGTAAGGGAAAGGAAAATGTAGTACCGGACTTTTTATCACGTAGTATTCCAGTCGAAATCAATTTAATCGAGTTAGGGGATATTGCCGAAATTCGCGATCCTTGGTATCACAAAATGTTCCATTCCATTCGTAGTAAACCCATACATTATCCACAGTGGCAAATTATTGGGAACAAACTTTATAAACGACTCAAATATAATTGTTTAGAATCGCAAGAACCAAATGATTGTTGGAAATTGGTTGTACCTAAAGATAAACGGAAAGAAGTATTGAGAACTTGTCATGATGAAACAATTTCAGGTCACTTAGGTATTTATAAAACCTTTCATAGAATCGTACAGCATTATTATTGGCCAACTCTAAAAGCTGATGTTACTAAATATGTTAAATGTTGTGTAGTATGTCAAAAAACTAAGCCGGAACAAAAATTGGTAGCAGGGAAAATGGGAAACCCTATTATACCTAAACAAATTTGGCAAATGATAAGTTTTGATTTAATCGGTCCGTTACCTAAATCTAACCAAGGGAATCAATATATTTTTGTGGTTACAGATATCTTTAGTAAATTTAGTTTATTGTTTCCTTTACGAAGAGCACTAGCGACTAAAGTTTGTAAAATTTTAGAAGAACAAGTCTACCATGTTTTTGGTGTACCCGAAATTATGCATTGTGATAATGGCGTACAGTTTAAAAGTAATGATTTTAAGAAATTAGTTGAAAAATATAAAGTCAAGGTAATATTTAATCCTAACTACCATCCACAAGCAAATAATACCGAAAGGGTGAATCGTGTAATCAAAACAATGATTTCTGCATATATTAAAGAAGAGAATCATAAACGATGGGACGAACATTTAAGTGCATTAGCATGTGCAATTAGAAGTGCTCGTCACGAAACAACTTCATTTAGTCCATATTTTGTTAATTTTGGTAAAAACATGAATTTATCAGGAGATGAAAAGCATAAAAAGGCGAATTTATTGAATTGTAGATAACTTCTTAATTTGCGTAAGCATTGGTCATATACAATTTTACATAAAAGTACCTAATATAAGTGCTTTAATGGTAAATATTTGCCTCAAGCAAATCAGGGATCTCGCGCCCCCCTTAACAGCACCTTTCTCCCCCCAATTTGGGAATCACTGCTGAGTGAATTTAGCTGAAGCTCATTTTTGAGATCGTGATGTGTGTCCTTTCGCTCTTTTCTTTGACTGTCAAGCTGTGCGTACACCGGGCGTCACGATGAAACTTCCAAATCTTACCCTAGGTCAATAATTTGTCTGAAATCGTTACCAATGCCCGTATTTCGTTGATGGACCTGCACATGCAATGTATTGATGCCAAAGTGCTTATCGTTACAGTCCGCAATAACTAGATTAGAATTACGATCTGAAATCTACTTCCCATGGTGGAGCGATTGATATTGCCCTGACGTCCACTTTTATAAATTACCGTCCAATCAGATTACCTGAGCTGATTTAATTATATCAATTAGTCATTTACCACCGCTATGCCATCCGTTGAACCTTAACGCACCTACAAAATCTTAATGCTGCATACGAAAGCAAGAGAGGTAAAGTCCAGCACGGGTTACATAAATCATATCCAGTTTTCCAACAGCATAAATGACAAATTTACTTGACCATATCACCGGTTTGCGTTCAGTGTCGCATTACCGGTAACCGGAGCCGGTCTCGCCGGCTGATGTTACACACCCGCATGTGGGCCTCTACTTCATAGAGCTTGACATAATGTTCCTTAAGCTTCGGCTACTTGTATTCTTTTTATTTTATACGTCTTTTCCTGCGAGCTTGGAAGGCACAAACTGGATGTTGGTCATTATCGTAATTTAGTACATATCTTAATTATTCTAGCGTCTTCCGTTTGTTCTACGGCGAGGTTTAATTCAATTAAGTTGTTACTTTTTTATTAAGCGTTTAAAAGGTACATACACTGAAGACCACCAACATAAACTGCTCTCAGTTACTAAATGTACAATTTCCCACTCCGCAGCCAAGAAATAAACATACCAAACACAAACTACACTAACATATAACAATAAAATATGGAAACTAGTCCAAAGTTTGCATTAGACTGAAATGTTGGCTGGCATTTCCTGGAAAATCGTACAAGTCCTGCTTTTCGTAAGCCTTACCATCGCTTTGTAGCTTTGGGAAGTCACATAAGTAATTTTCAATCTAACTACAAGAAGCAAGCAAGAATGTCCTATTTCGAAGTCACTTGCGGCAGGTGAAAATCTACTTATGTTAGTGGTGTGCAAAATCCTAAAACAATGACTAACAGCACAAAGGTAAGGATTTATTAGGTGAAACATTTCCGCTCTTCATCTAAATCACGAAAACTAAATTAGGGTCACGAAAGTCAATTTACCAAAAATTATAGTAATATTTTTTAATATGTTTATGCATCAATTCACAGTCCCACACTAGAAAAAAAGAGTTTTCACATATGTGGATTTATAAATCATTTCGGTAAGCTGAAAAAGTGAACGGACCCTCGTCAAAATATACACCACAGAATTTGTACTCCCGAATTACGACACATACAATTACGTATCTGTTGCTGCTATTAACACCAGGTAATTTCATGTAAAATAATTTCATAATCTCATACAAAACACGAAATCTGAACACATGAACGTTTCCTGTACCGATGTAGACAGGTGCATGATCGCATGTGATAGTGGAGTTCCCACGGTAAAATCACATCAACCCCCTAAATTTCCCTCCCCCTACTTGCCGCATGTACCGTAATTACTCGCGTAGCTCGTCCGTCCTTTTGCACTCTGACCTGTGATTTGTATTAGGTTATTAAATTATGTACTTTATTTGATTAGCGTTTAAATTAAATTGTTGTTGCGTATGTAATTTGTGTTTAATCTGCGTAAAGATGCGGTTCCCAAACAAAGGGTTACGTTTGCCAACATAAACGCGTAACTTCATTTCGTTTTTAATTACGAATCCGAAATGCGCAAAAAAATCAAGACCCGTTAGTGATAATAATCGGGCATTTCCAGGTTGCACAGATTTTCTCATGTGGCGGAATGTCAGGCCCGGCTTCCGGTTCCGGGCAGGTGACCGCAGCGCCGTGGCTATTAAGGGAACTACGCTTGCTTAGTCGAGCGCAGAGCCACCCACGCCTGCTCTGATTACTCGATATTTGTGTAACCACGATCACCGCTGTATAATGATCATTTTACACTGCCACCTTCTCTCATAAGCTGAGAAACTTGCTTTCTGCTTTTATCGGCACGACGACGAGCTTAATGGAATGAGGTTCGATTGTGTTTATCAAAAGAGATGGAAGATGGTAATTTGATCGGTACGGTACAACGCAGCAAAATATAAAACGGTACCGTAATTAATTAATAGAGATGAGATCAATTTAAAAGATATTCAACAAACATTGAACATCATCATGAGAAGAAATTTAAGCAGAGATTAGAAACCAATTAATTTTTTTCTGTGCGTTTTTTTTAGTGAGAGAGCTTTCAAACACTTCAGTTTCATCTATAACTTGCATTTATTGTAAGTCGCGGAATGCACTTTTTAACCCAGCACAGAAACACTTTTTTATTTCACTTTTATTTTAAAGTTTCAGGACTTCATTTTCCGCTCGCGCTCTTCTTTTGCTATGTAATCCAAATTTTGAGCTTATACGGTTTTCGAGTTGTTTAAAATAGGGCCAAACTTCACGGGTGGCGTCTTAATTTTTCCTCGTTTTGTTCAAGTGAGCGAAATTTTGTGCTCTTTTCATTTTTAAGTTATAGCGCGTTTTGTACTGGGACCTTAAGGTGTCCGAATTATTGAACTTTCTAGAACAAAACTATGTTTACGCAATGGACAATACACCTTGGTCTGCAGTGAGATTAATCTGGTGGGTTAGGTACTCGTCTTCAGTGAAGGGAGATCTGGTTCCAGTATAAACGGTCTGCGAATGTAAACCTAGTCGGCATTAACCTCGCCTAAACTGCGGTCACTTAAACATACAGAGAACATTGTTTATGAGTTTTCATGATAGATTGAAAGGTTTTTTTTTAAATTTTTACTTTATTAAAAGGATTTAAATATTCTTTATAAAACGTTTTAACAACATCTTCAAAGATTATTTATGGATTCTTCAAGGATATTTAAGAGATTTATCCAGATGGTTTTTCAGAAATAATAACCTTCACAAAAAATGTATTGATTTTGGCCAGACTCTCGAAATACTTTTAAGAGATTGTGCAAAACAAAAATGTTCTGAAAAATCTTTAACAATCTTGAAGAACACCCGGTGAACCCCTAGCTTAATGGGTGAGTTCTCCAAACATATCTCTCATCCCTTGGAGTATCTGTTAATTACTGAATTCTGAGTTTAGTTCTACTTTTGAGATAAGCAGTAGGTGTAAAAATGTTGTAAGTTTTTGGGATATAATATTTGTGTGTACCTATATACTAGTACCGTTTTAAATTTTTAAGTCTGCTTCTTGCATTTTTAAGTGTAATTCGAAATATCACCGGTAACGAGACCGTAAGTACGAAAGGTACGAAAGAGTACCTACATTTTGTTTGGTATCCTGATGATCATTCCAAATAAAACGATTGCTTCCGTCCCTACACCTAATGAAAAATAAGAATAGTCAAAAAGTACCGGATTTAGGAATGCAGAATTTTAATAAAAGTAACCGTAAAATTCAAATCTACATTCATTTCTGGCATCGAAAACAGTAGTTGCAACTTGAACTAAAATTTTGGACTTTTTTTATTACTGACTGAAAAATCGCAGCAGCTTTTGAACCTTTTGCAAGACTTTCGGTGGTCGCTCAAAAAATTCTGTAGGCTTTGAGGATTCGATGATGTAAAATAGTGATCTTGAACTTAAGAGAGAATTTTTGAATTGAATGAACCTTTCCATCGTCAAATTTTTAGAAACAAATTGACATGTGTCAAAAACGATTACGGATATGACTTAAATCTTAATTGCCTTGAATTCAGACTCAAAAAAACGCATTTAAAAAAATAGAAAATGGCATGTTTCTTTTTTTTAAAGAAAAAAGATGGCGATATTTACGGAAACGATGCCATCTTGAAAGTATTTCGCAATGGTCGACTATGACTGTCGACAAAATTTCAAGTTTCTACTCTTATTTTAACTGTTAAAAAAAATTCCAACGGTAGGGCCTACATGGATCTCCCTGTATAGTTATATGATACAGAGTATTGTTGTTTTTTTTAATTACGATAGGCTTCCACTGCGCTAAACTCTCCTGCGTCGCCATATTTGACACACTTGCTCCAAAAACTGCCCGATAGTTGTGAATTGCTGCAAAACTAACATCAAATGCAAAAAAAAACTGTATCTTGATGTCTCCAAACTGAACAATAATGTTGTAAGTGCTCTAAAAAGTAATGGGGACAATATCCAGTAAGTAAAAAAATAGTGTTAGGAGATGCCGGACGAACGGATAGCGGGTTCATAATATCTCTCTCATTCTTTCTCACTTGAAAAAATGCGCGTAGACCCAAAAGGCATTCACTCCATATTAAATATAATTTATCATACTTATAGCGGGTTTTATTAGTTAAAAATATTCTGTGGATGAGTTCTTGCGAGCGAATTAACATATATTTAATGTTCTCGAGAACAAATACTTTGGTAGGGAATTGTTTAGGGGAGATCCTGGGGAGAATATTTCAGAAGAGAATATTTTGCGATTTTGGAAGAAAGGGGGTGAATACGCTTTGATGAGAGAAATGGTTTTTTTAATTACCTTGAGCCAGAGCATGATTCACAATTCTTTGCATCATGGAGCGAGAGTATATCAAGAGGGAGAAAATGAAGTATTTCCTGTTGCAAATCCATTCTTTTGTGTTTGCAATCCACACTGGTTAATTAGATTAAAATTATCGCACATACTTTTAATTGCTTACTTTATGTATTAATTATACTTGCCTGGTTGACCTTTTTTAGGTATCCATAACCTCCTTCTAGCGGGGGCATTTTTTACAGAGAGCGAATATTTCAGAGGGAAATGTGACGGAGACTAGGCTCCATCAGGGAATCATTTTTTTAAATTGTTCTGTCGCTAGGATGGATGTTCTCTTCCTTGTTACTGCATTTGTAGCATAGTTTGTTTTTTTAGAATACTTTTGTATCAATATTTAGCGCAATTAGAATCAAGTTCAAGCAAAAAGCACTCTGTATACTAATTTTTAAGATGATATTCTTCTTAGTTTTCGTGGTTTTATGACAACCTCCATGCGATATACCTTACAGTTTACATCTAAGGCCTATATATACCTATGAGCAAATGTCTTCTAAAGAGAAATGCACTACATACAGTATATCAAAGACTAAGTCACAAAAAATGAACTATTTACAGGAGAATACTTGAAGTTTAAATCAAATCCCTGATTTTCAGTATGTCAGCACCTTTCTGTGTCAAAAACTTGTACAGTATCAAAAACAAGAGAACTTTTCTAAGCTAAGGCTGACTAGGAGTGAATGAACAGAAAAGTAGTACTATGTACTAGAGTCAAATATACCACATCCGTTACTATTGCAAAATCAATCAAATCTTTAACATCACATTCAAATTGCCCAATTAGAAATTGACACCTTTTTCAAGTCACGATTTGACAACCAGGAACAGTTTATAATATACAAGCGTATAAACTCAAACGCATTTCCTTTATGAATCCACAATTTTTTATTGGTTAAGTTTAATTACAGTTCTTTTGTTGCAGGGAAGAACACCGTACCACCACTCGATGTAATTAGCCAGGGTAAGTACTAATCAGACGTATTAAACTATATATATGTTTCCCATTGATAAGGAGAAAATATTAATATGTTCGAACTGGTTGCATCCCGATAGCTTACAATAAAATTTTAATGAGCTTCCTGATCATAACGCTGGCATTCAATAATTGATAAAGATAATTATTATGAAATGAATTACAATGGCTAATTGTTAAGTGCGCATGTTAGTCTACCTTGACTTGCGGTTTGTTGTAAATTAATCCGTGCTAAGGATGTGTAAAAAGGTTATTAAAACTTAATGAGGGTAAAATTGTAGAGTACTGGTCAGCGCAAGAGCATATACGGATAATGTAGAGTATTTTGCCCTCTATCGCTTATTGTATGTTATTAAATTCAGCTTTCTTTGCTTTAATGAGTATTTTATGGAACTGCGTCGAGAAAACTTATTTAATGAGAGCGAGGGTAAACATGAAATGAACATAAAGAAGTATTTCATTCATCTCATAATCCACTGCACTCTCCACTTGTTCCATTATACGAGTAGGTAGGTACCTATACAACAGAATTGACATTATATGGCAGTCCAACACCACGGACCTTGTTCTCAGTTCTGTTCACTTTCAGTTAAAAGTAAAGGTGTGTTTGTGTATAAAACATTATTATTATTAAAAAAATTAAGAAATTTCTACGGCATGCAAACCACACGACGGTAAGGACTGTGAGAAAATACATTCCTTTTTTGACGCCCGAGCAAGATTTTGACATGATTGTACCGTTGAGTGAAGATTACTCAATGATTGTACGAATTTTCCCAACGAAACCCTATACAGATCTTATTTGTACCTTTTAAGCAGATGTTCCTAAAGGAAGGTTGCCTGTCTTTGTCTTTGTGACTGCTTTGAACCAAAAAAAGATTTCTCTTGATTTTGGTTGTTTTTTTAGCGCAATCCACGAAGGTGGAGCGTTTATGTCCTCATTATTCCGTCCGTGTGTCCTCAATTCTGCGCTATAGCTCAGGGCCTAGACCTCGTATCAACTTCCAGTTTTTGATATATGAACGCTTATGCCATGGGTTCCAATGATGTGCAACTATCAAAAATTAACTTTGGCCCCCTACAGGTTGTTGCTCAAAAGCGGTCAAAATCATTATTTGTGCATGCATTATACAAATTGTAAAATTAAAAAAAAACAGAATCGGCCTAAAATATAGGCGAGCGAATAACGTCCAACAATTAAAACTTCTTTAATTAATTACTGGACTCCCTGAAGTCTTAAAAATCTGGGACTAATCTGGTAATTCATTTTAATTAAGCCCCCTTGATTTGATACTAAACACAATCTAATCAGAGGAGGTTTACTGCATCACTTCTGATTAGCTACCGGTATCTATACTCACTTAATTGGCTGGATTAAAATTCCAAAATTCGGTAGTTCATTGCTACATGGAATTTCGGGTCATTCGCAAAAGGCCTGTGATGCATGACCCCGCACTTTTAATGTTTCGTTTATCATTTTGAAACTCAAATGAAGGGGACCTATATCATACTGCGGCTAAAACACGATGCTAGAAATCAAGCAATCATTTTTACCTTCTCCTAGTAAGGAACCGCGTAGGTACAGAAGAGACAGTTTCTCGTAACGAAATACCCCAAATTTATATTACGTTTTGGTACCGCGCTTTCATGTACCGGGTGGTCATCAAAGCTGGTAAAGGTCATAGCGGAAAGTGGGTGCTCCCTTATATACTTTATCGCTGAATAAAGGCATTTAGGTATAGCATATACTCGTAATCCATGTTTATGAACACTAACTAAAGCTACGAACATAAGAATTACAATTAACTTATTGCGTTTAATCGAAACAATAATAAGAAAATAATAATAATAACTATCAGCGTAATGTTCCTTAAACTAAAAGGTATCAATAAAATGTGGTCTTTTTGTAAAGACTGAGAAATATTTATTGTCTTGTGTGCAGTTTTAGTCATTTTCCATCTTTTCTCCGTATTTTTCATTAATTTATATAGGTAAATAGAAATGGAAACTTAAAGTTACTTTAATTCACTATCTAATTTAAACGCCTTTCATATAATTTCATATTTGCTTTGATAATGGCCATTACAATTATATGGCCGAAACATATACAGTGCTGATTATTAAGAAGTAGACATATTTTATGTTTTGTTAATGTGTATTTTTATTAAATAAAATATTACAAATTTATATAGGTATTAAAACTTTGGAATATCTTGGGTTTCACCGCGTGCGACGACTTCAAAAAGTGCAGTAGGGAAGCCTCTCATGCAGTTTCGATGCCAGTAGGTTATATTTGTTATGATAAATGAATTCCCTGACCCCAAAAACATAAGTCTAGACACCTTACACGACCCGGTGTGCCTTAAAAATATAATTCGATCAAAAGTCTGTCATTTTCTAAAAATGGCGGCTTTTCACGGACTTCCTGTATCCGGATTACATTTCTGGCGCCACCATTGGATTCCGCGGGTTCAAATCATACGAAATCGATACCCAGATCTCGTCTCTAGATCATATTTAGTTTTTAAAAAAATGTTACAATAAATCACCCCCACCCCCTCTAAAATCTACCCACACGGAAAATGTCATGTGTTCTTCGGGTCAAATCGTTTAAATGGCTGTAAGGAACAACTGTACCAAGTGGCACCTTGGTATAAAAAAATGCAGTATCTTTCAAGAATTTCCGTTATACCGCTAGTACTAAAAAGTCTTTTGATTCAGAAAGCATTTGCGCGTTTAAGCTTACCGTGGCTCCACTTTATGATCAGATTATAAAATGGGGTTTCAAATAAGTATAAAACAACAGTCTTGTTGTTCAAAAGATTTTAATTTAACGCAGTGGGGTAATAAGAGATTTGTGGTCGATGTTAGTCTGCGTTTTTGCGTATTGACAAGGTAAAAAAAGTTACGAAAACAAAAATCATTTCCATTCATAAAATTATCTACAGCTCATTATAATGTTTATATACATTGTCACAAATGATTTCGTCTGCAATCTGAAAGCCTAAAATCACAAACAGTTCTAAATTTTCCTTCATCTCAATTCAGTGAGTGATGTTCCATAAGCAGAATGATCGAAGAATCATTTATTGTATCAGTAATCCAAGAAGGTGTCATTTTGGATATAATCTTCTTACGTGGCATGTGCTTTGTACGTAGGTACATCGTTCGTTTGGGTTGTTGCTAAATTCGTAAACCCAAAGAGTCGCAACAAAAATTTCGTGACATTGAAAGTGCCTTGACTCATTGACTTATTCCAATTTCTGCGGCTTACTCGTGGCAATGGCCGTGATTTGGACAATAACTGCGCACAACCACAGGATATGCCACGAACGAAGGATATTTACGGCCAGACACGCCATCAGGCTTGCAAAAATTAACCAACACTCCGAGATACCATGAGATTAACCAACCACTTGCCGTACATTCACGATATCCCTTTCTTTCCTTTGACCAAAGGAACAATTTGAATAAAAACCAAATCATATTCGGACCGTATTATGTTGCTAAACCATTTAATTGTTAAACCGTAGCGATTAGACGTTTTGTTTTTTTTCGGTATTGTGGTAATGATTTTCTACGAACAATTCGAAATTATCGTTTCCGTCTTTTAGTGCGGATGCAAGTTGGGTTTACAGTTTCACATTTATTGCTTTGTCCAGATATGGCCCGCATAGTAACTATTAAATTTGAAACAATAGAACGCAGTACAACTTTTAATATTCAAATCTTGGAGTAGAGTTTTCCGACGGTTGTAAACATATCAAAGAATTGATACTAACATTCAACAATGGGGTATATTTATTTATATTGTGAGTTTGGGTAGATTGCATCTGTGGTTGTAGCACTATTCAAAAGAATTTTTCTTCCCATTTTTGATGGCGCATTCATTTTACAAAGATGTAGCCAAAATGAGTGGTATAGGTATGCCCAATGTAGGTAGTTTCTTTAGTTATACAAAATGAAGTTTATAGTAGTTTGGTACATTTTCAGCAGACCTTTGCAGGTAGAGGCGACCAAAGTTGCCCAAGTACCAAGTCTAAATTTCCTTTTTGTACTCCGTGAACTCTAAATGAACTTGTTTTGGCATTCATTTAAGGGACTAAAGTGTCACCTAACACTTTTTGTTCCGGAGGGAGAAAAAAACGACGCGGGCCAAAAAGTGGCAGTGCACACTAAAATGTCAAACACAATTTAATGATGCATGGTTACATTTATATGTTTATTTTGGTTCTTGTACCATATTACCAACTTATACCGTCTTCTTTTTGAATTTGGGAGCCAACTCATAGCTTGCTCTGCAGAACTATAAACGATCATCTTTAAATTACACTGACATTTATTATTATATGGTCACAATTTGATATGACAAGGTATATTGATTCTACAATCAAATAAATTTTTGTTCAAATTTGGACATTGAAATTGCCGTAGCTGACACGACTAAAGTGCGCCCTAATGCTTCGGGTGCTTGTTGCCCTCAACTACGTTTCGAGCCACAATCTGCACCCTCGGGATTAAAACACAAACTTTAGTCCCTTGTAATGTAAAATATGTAATATACTATTTTGGATATCCACGAAGAAACAGTCACTGAAAATGCTGCAAACGAGAATGTTTTACTGCTATAGAAGATTTGCTGGTCATAAAACATAAAATGTAACAAAAAAGAAAATGATTTTAAGTACAACTCCATAAAGATAGGTCAAGGGAAATAGACGTTTCTGGTGGAATCCAAAAAAGCTGCAGGGATGCTTAGATAAATTAATAGATATGCGAAAGCAAATGCTTTACATGAAGTGCGCACTGTACTTTTTAATGTGAAATCTTTTCTGGTGCTTACATATATATACAGGGTGCCCACTATGTATGTAATATAGTATCTTACTAAATAACGACTGTATACACCTTTTTTTTTATAGAAAAATGGTTTAATACTTTTTTCCCCATAATAAGCCAGCATTCAGTTGTTTTTATTTCATAAAACA